TTTTTTTTAGTTTTCAAGTAGTTTAGAATTCGCATTCTAAAAAGGCTTTCAAAAAGGAAACAGCTTTTGAGATACTTTTTTCCTTTTTTTGGTTCAGGCTAGAGAATCTCATGTTATTGCAGTGCCCTATCCTATGTCGTGGTTGGAATTAATACTATAGAAGAGAGTAAAAAGATCTTTAAATTTTTGGTAGGTTATCAAATGCTATTGAGTTATTCGTCAATCTGGAAGTTCTATTATTATTTTCCACTCTAAATGTTCTTTCAGAGATTAAATGGATTTAAGGATGTTTTGATTTACAGTCATTTCCCTGAAATCAGGGTAAGTTTCTCTGCTTCGGTTTATTCTTTTGTGCTTTCTTTTAGCATAATTGTTTAAGGGAACGGAATTGCCTGTTAACATGCAGGAACCAAAAACAGGTATGGCTTTATCAACTTTGCTTTCAGTGGACGCATTCGCATTCATATGTCTGCGTTCTAACTTGCGCGTCAAAACGCAGACGTCGGCGCTCGTCGTCAATCGAACCTCTCAGATCGATAACTCACGCTATCCCATGTTACGTTTCCTGTCTCTTGCGTATACTTTGCTTCTGCGTGGTATCGATCGACGATGGCGCGTTCTAATGTCAACTATGCCCTTAAACGCAGATATGTGTGTTATAACGCCGATACCAACGCTCCAACCCTCGAGTCGGCTTTAGAACGCGCTCAGTGTTGTGTTGTTTTTCTCATTGTCGTATTTTCCTTTTGATGTTATGGCTGTTTAATACACGAACACAGGCTTGCACGAACATTTGGGAAATGCTTTTTGTTTCAAAAACCTCACAGATCTCAAAACAGCTGAATTCCTGGATGCTTTAGTAAGTTCTTCCAAGTACAACAGCGTTGCGATGCGGTAGTTCCGTCGGTTTCCACTCTCCTAGTCATACGTTTCATAGCTTTTTTATGACATAAATACTTTTTATCTAAGCTTGAGATATGTAGGGGCTACGGGGTGGGTGAGCCAGCGATGCTCAACTCTTGTCCCAACAAAGCATTTTACACGAGAAAATCATCTCACACACCGTGGAGCTTCTCCCTTGTAAAAGAAGTAAAGGCATTATTCATCTGACCAAAAACTATCTCTAAACACAGCTAAGGTTGGCTACCCCTTCTCTCTGGCCTTCAATGATTCAAAAAGGCGCTGCCACTCCCCCAAAATACAGAGTTGCCCTTCCCTCCTTCACGTAGACGTCTAACCTGGCCACTGCAAGGGAATTGCTAAGAATTATATCGATACTCGATGGTAAACTACAAAGCAAGGTAAAGGATCGGTAGGCTTCAGAGATTCCGTGACATCTACGACTGCACGTAGACGTGAAGGACTGCAGATCATCTCGTTATTATGGGTTGCCTTTTTCTAAACTCTCCATAATGGTTTCTTGCCTAGGGCGTAACGTTTTCGGTTTTACTTTCATCTACTAAATGTTGCTTTGCTCGATGTTCGTGAGTCGAAGCGGATCCGCATTAAAACAAAAAACAAAGTTGCTCCTGGCGAATAATGAAGCATCTTCCTCTACTGACTTGCCTTTTCGTTATACGGTCTTTGAAGGAACCTTGATGAGCGGCTGCCTCAGAGTTCAACGGTGTGCCTTCCGTCCGTGCGTCCGACCGACCAACCGACCGACCGATGACGGCGCTAGCCACTTGTTGACAACACTGGACGCCGATGGATCACGCGCCAGTGTTGTCAACACATAGCCACCATCACCGTCGGTCGGAGGGCACACCGGTGAACCTTGAAGCAGTCATTCATAGCATTCCGTATCTTCTAATGTTTATTTTTAAGGAGTATTTTCCTTTCACAATTTAATCTTGAATTTTCAGAAACACATCCATATTCTCGCGTCTTGGGACTTCCAAGTCCGTTGGGCAAGGGATCCTATCAGAACTCGAGTGATGAACTATTGGCCGATCAAGAAAGCTCATCTAAAGCCGCTGAGGAGTCAAAGTATGCATGGATTTCATTGTTGTTCGTAAGGTGAAATCATCAAAATATGAATATGTTCTAGAGGGACTGGTTTTTGTTGTGTTCTGTGTGGCAAAATACGACCGCTGCTCGATGCTCGCAACTCACTGAAAAAGGCGGAGCAAAACATTATATTCCTCTCTTGTTTACTGATGGAAAATACGATTGACATGGAGACAGCAACCAAACTATACAAGGAGACTTTTCAATCATTAAGGCGCCTTTGTCAGAAGCACTTCATCCGCGCTGTAAGTTATTATTTCGCACAATTTTGTATTTTCTTTTGATTTTCAGTCTTTTATAAGTACTTACTCGAGTTTTTTCTGAAGTTCTCTAAAGCTCCCTTTCTCTTTTACTTGCTATTTCATTCCATCTCTTCCGTGCTGGCCATCCTGAAAAAACTGTGAATTGCTGAATGTTTTTTGCACACCCAATTTCTGTCATTTCGCCCAAGTCTTCGAAAACAATTCGAAATTTTAGGGGAAATAGCCTTTTAAATGCCGTTTTTTCAGGCTGCTTTCATAGGGCGAGAAATTAAAGAAATGACTGGACGTTTCCCTGTGTATGGTCTTCACAATGTTCCTAAAGACATACTGGAAGTTTTTCTGGGACACATACAAGTATTCGGAGATTGCCTCGACGTAATGCCTTCATTCTGTACTGTTCCGTTATCATTCACTGCAATTTCTGTTTCAGGAGAAAGTTGTTCTTGAGATATATGACGTAATCAGGTTCTTCAATGATTGCTTGGCAAGATATCCTAATGCAGAAGAGTGGGGAGTTGTTGAAATGATATATAAACCGCCTATTCCACGGAAACGAAAAGAGGTGTTGCATGTTTCTCATTTCTCAGCTTCTTCCTTCGACTCCTTTCTCACAATCTCTGCGATTCTGATATTTTAGTTGTCACCGTCATTAGATGTTCCTGATAAGATCAAACCATGTCAAAGCGAGACTGGGGACAATGTGATTTCAGGTGATTTGGAACTATTATTTGGAGGAATTTGTTCTTCAGGAGACAAAGTTGCATGACTATTTTGATATAACCGACTGAATTGAAGATTGTGGTCGATCACCACAGTATGCTGAAGCGAAACAAGAGCCTCTGGAGTCTGACGGAATATCGGCTGCCTACTTGATGTTGAATCAGTCAACGCAATCACCTTGTTCATCAACGTCATTCGACTCTATGTCTTCGATGAACAAAGGTATGTGCGCTTTTATATCTGCCATTATTTGATCATCTATTCTTATACGTTGTGTGACCTTTTTTTGTTTCAGACTTCTGTTAATATGCATTTGTTTTAGAGCCTAGCGACGATTATCAGCAACCGTCAACAACAGGTGCAAGCTGTCAAGGGAGGTCTGGTTTCGATGAATGACTTTTTGCCACTTTTCTTTTTTTTTTTTTGAATTTTTTATGCGTTTTCTGATAATTTCAGTTCGAAGTCCGGTACGCTACAAAACGGCGGCGTGTTTTCTGTGAAAATCCCATGCAGAACTTCAGACAATCGCTCGCGTAGCCCATATGTGGAAACGGATTTCCGACAACGTTTTCGAATGTCGCGAAGTACATTCAAAAAATTATGCGATGCGTTGGAGCCCTACCTTCTAAATCGATTTAAACATGGAACGAAAAGCTCAACTGCTATAAGAGTCGGCACTGCACTTGAAATTCTGGCAGGAAAGAGTTTCCTAGAAGAAGCAGCAGATCCTACAGATGTGACTGTGCCGGAGATTTTTTCCGATGTACTAGAGGCATTATTGGATTGGTCGGGGAAGATGATTCAGTGGCCCGGTGAAGTAGAACTGAAACGTATCAGTAAGAGGTTAGTCTCTTTTTTGCTCTTCCTTTTTCATTATGCAGGATTTTCGAGTACTTCCCGAAATATTCTAATCAAGAAGTCAATCCGGTTCATATAACACCCATCTATAGACGACCTTTTTATGATTTCTTCTAAATGTAGCTTTGGATACTTATTATCCCTACCGTTATGCTTATACTGTGACCTATATTTAAAATACGCAGAATACATTGATAGTATTAGGTTCGGAAGCGAGCAAGGTGTGCGTAGAAGTGAGGTCAACAGCAGTTCTCTGGTTGCTGAAAGTAATATCTTGAGCTTTTCAATACTTAGGTTCCTCCCAACAAAACAACCGTAAAGGTTCCTCCCAATAAAACCACCGTAATCTTCATTTTTTAAAATTCCTAGAGGAAAGCTTGAAGTGCTGATACTGGAGAAACGAAAAATTGCGTGTGTAATTGTTCCCTAGAGCTTAAACGACACCGATATTTTTCTAGAGTTAAAAGGGCAGTCGCGTAAGGTAGGATAGCGATAACTGGTATTGCTGTTGCACAGGTGATCCTATGTTGCCATCTAACCTTTTTGGGGTTAGGTGATAAGTGCCGAATTGGTTTGCATTACAAAAACTCGGAATTGTACCTTAGCTGTTGTGGATAAGGCGTTATATTTGATTAGAAATTACCCAATTAGAAACGGAAGTTGGGTACGGGCGTTTTAAAGAAAGTACAATTATTGAAAATTGACCAGCGAATTGATCACATTTTTCAGTTTCTCAGAATTGACGGATATAGACGGTATTGTTGGTTGTCTCGATGGAACAATAGTGGAGCTTCTGAGCACTTCGGATGCGTCAGAAAGGTACGATTTGGTTTTTTTTATATTTTTGCTATTGAGTTATTACAATTTGTCCTTAGAATGTCCCATTTTGAGCAGTTCTGTAGCTGTTTGCACGACAAACTTCAGGGGTCCTGAGGCAGAATAAAGCTTCTGTACTGTTTCCCCATTTCATAGAAGTCCCAAGTCCTTCGATGTTTTACATTAAACTGTCCAAACTAAACATCTCAATTTGCTATGGAAGAATTGGGCTTATTACCAATGAAAAACTTTAGCAGTTCATGCCATGCTCTCAATGTCAGCGTGGTGACGGATGATCAAAATAGGATCCGTTGGGTGTTTGCCAAATACCGTGCCGACGTTGATGACAACTCGGTAAGCACCTTTTTTTGTTTTTTTATTTTTTAAGTACTGGATTTTTTCTTTTTCTTTTTTTTCTAGGTATTCAAACGTAGCTTGCTTTGTGAGCAACTAAAAGAGGGGATAAAGAAAGGAATTCTGATCGGTGATGATGAATATGTTGAAGAGCCGTTTCTATTGACGCCAAGTGGACAATCTGGTAGGTCGTCTTCTGGATAGCTTCTTATAATCGAAATGTTCAAATCTTTTTATAAAGATCCTGTGCGAGCTGACAAGTTGAGGAAAACGCAACGCAGAGTGCAAGAAACGATTAAAAACTGGAAGAGGCAGTTTCCAATCCTGTCAAGTAACATGAAGTTCGTTATATTTACTGCTTTCCATTTGGTTTTTCAAGCAATTCTTTTCTTGTCCAGGACATCAAAAGTGGCGAGAATCATCGTAGGAACTGCAGCTTTATACAACCTGACGAGGATGGAGGGTGAACCAATTTTCACCAAAGAGGACGACGCTGATCTGGATATGGCTACCACGTTAGCAGGCTCTCAGCAAGAAGATAGTGGCTGAAGAAGGCCTGAAAAAAATTGTCAATCAAAGTCCACTGTACAGTATTTATAACGCATGCTTTCATTAGAATAAAAGTTTGCAGGCCACGGTTAATGTGGATTGACTATGTTCATATTTTATCACGTAGGAAAACCCTAGGGTAAGTAAACCCATGGGGAGAAAGCTATCT